GAGCGAAACTCGCACAAAGGACATGGCTTTAAACATTTCCTGAGGTACCCAAACGCTTTGCAGCAGCCAAGGCCACTGGGAGGTGCCAACGAGCATGTACCCCCTGCTTCTGATAAGCAACAGCCCACCCGTTGTCATCAAAGCTCCCAGAGCTGGAGCGTTCTCACTAAACTAGCCACGTGCACAGAAACACGGGCTGAAAACCGGCCTCAGTAACACCCAGAAAATCGCCTCAGCTGCTCGGTTACTCCGAGTCAGACCTTGTCCTGGGTTAACCTGGGCTGGCAGTAAGGAACCCCCAGCCGCTCGCTCAGCTCCCCGCCCCCTCCAGCAGAGGAGAACCAGAGGGAAAGATAAGGTCCTCATGGGCTGAGACAAGAACTACTCCACAATGGCACACGAATGAGTATTCCGTGTTTAACAAGGTTATATCCCAGGGAGTCTCTCCAGAAGTCTCCCATGGGGTTTTCCCCAAAAGGAAACCTCCCTGCTCCCATTTGGTCATCCTGCTCAAAACACAGGGAGTGTCTCAGCTCCAGCCCATCATCCCGTCTGAACGCCAAGCCCCAGCGCCACGCTCCGAGCAGCATCCTCACCGGGGCGACTGCCCCGGCTCAGAGAGGGGTTCCAGGTCACAGTACGGCTGAGCCGTGGTTTCACACGCAGCTCCCCCCGCCCCTGGTCTGTCACCCGGGGGCTGTAGCCAGCGGGCAACACCCGTCGGGGAGCAGGAGTCTGTGGTACCTGGACACAACTCTGGGCACACTCCCGTGGCCCACGCTACACCTCCCGTCACTTCAGGGTGCTCAGCTGAACACTTCCCATGGCTTCTTGATGCAGTGACTTCTCTGCACCTCAAGTCAGCCAAGTCCCGTCTCTGTTCCTCACTTCCCCTCCAAGGCCTCTGCTGTCGCCAGAGACACCGTTGGGAGCCGGTATTTACGGAGCAGCAGCGCGGCTCAGCCCGGCCGGGCCCCTCAGTGCCTGGTCAGGATGCTGCCGAGGCTCAGTGACACCGGCTCTGGGTTCAGGTGAGTCCCGAAGGAGAAGCAGTTCCCTCCGCCCCCGATAACCAACAGCTCCTTCTCCTCCGGCAGCAAGACGCTGCTGTGCTTATGCAGCATTAGTGGCCACTCCAGCCGCTCCTGGAAAAGGACAGGAGATCAGAACACCCAGGACAACACGTGGGCCTCACACAGCACCGCAGGGCTGCTTCGTACGCTACCTCCAGCGCAGGGTTAATAACAGCCATCCCAGGCCCAGCCAGGGCCAGCTGGCCCACTACAGCCCCCACCCGTGACCACGTGTGTGAACAGAGCAGCCCCCACGCTCCAGCACAGTCAGACCCCCCCAACACGATTGTGCTCTCTGGGCTGGAGGAAGCACCTCAAAGGCAGATTCCACCTCACACAGGGAGCGTTGCACCCGCTCACAAATTCACCCGCTTTGCACTCCCCGCCCCGTTTCAGGGACACCCCCGAAGCCACCACGTTGTTCACCCATTGACTCACCGTGTCAACCGCGTAGTCCAGGCAGAGCCCTGTCAGCACGTCGATGACGGTGACGCCTGGCACCGAGGGCGAGTGAAGCCACACTCCGCCAACGAGCAGCAGCTTCCCCTCATGCACGTGAGCAGTGTGAGAGTACCTGGGGTTCAGAGAAGTGAGCCATGGTCAGACACCTGGGCAGGGACAGGCCCAGTCCGCCGCCCGATTCCACGGCTCACCTTGGGACGAGGGGTGGGTGCGTCTCCACCGTCTGCCACTGAAAGCCATGGCCAAGCTCCCTCAGAAAGAAAACTGATCCCAAGGGCTGCTCCGCTGGTCCCAAGCCTCCGGCAATGAGCACTCCTCCCTCCCAGCCACAGGCACTGTGAGAGTGACGGCATTCCGGTGCCGGGCCCTCAACGGGAATCTGGGCAAACACAAGGCCAAGGCTCAAGTTTGCCAAGCTGAGCCTGCCACATCCAGTGCTCATCCTGTTGCACATCCTGTGGGATGAACAGCCCTTCTTGCCTTGGGACAGGAACATGGTGAGCGACAGGGAACACTCACTAACCCCACCCACGCACGTTCCTGCAGGGATGGCCAAGCACAAGCATGTCCCCTCACACCTCCAGCGTCGCTCCAGAACCTCCGACATGTTCAGTCTTTGCAGGGCCGTGTGTGCCCATTTCTCAGCGGCGACCGCGTCCTTGCATGCTGCCCCGGCTCCAGGCGCGCAGCCCAGGGCCCACCTTTACCAACACGTGGGCTGAGGCAGCGACCAGCAGAGTGGGTGCTCGGGGCCGCAACCCAAAGCCAGGAACGCTGTCCTGCAGGATGGACAAACACCGGCACCAAGGGAAAATGCAAGGCGAAGGCTTTAACAGAACGTCACGGCAAACGGGCTGTGGAGAAGGTTTTGGAGGCCATCAAGTGCATCCCCTTCTCCTAAAGCAAATTCCATTCCATTGACTTCCATCGACTTCAGGAAGAAATTCTTCACAGAGAGGGTGGTGAGGCACTGGAACAGGTTGCCCAGAGATGTTGTGGATGGC